TGTAAAACTTATATTTTTCCTGATATTCGGGCGTCCCGGTACTTTCCGAACACCCTGTATATATCGTAGATATCTTCTAACCACAAATTATAAAAAATTTTTGTATATATTTTTTCCTTATAAGAAATAAATAAATACGTATAATATATAGTATTTGTATATATATAAAATATATTTATTTATATGCAAAGTATAATAATGTATACAGTATATAAAAACAAATATAAAACTTGATTAAAGAAAGTTCGCTTAATTAAAAGTCACATTACACTCAATTTTAATATATATAGTTACAAATTATGTGTTTGAAATAATAAAGTTTTTAATTTTATTATTTCAATTGTTTACATTGATTATTTTTCTTATTTTAAAGTTAAGATAAAGTTAAATAACGTTAAAAAACCGTAATACGTCAGTTGATGAATTTTCTTGATAAAATTGATAAAAATATGATATTTTTTAATGTCCCACTGTAGAAGTTGCTCGTTATTCGATCAGGAAAAAACCTATGAAAAAAAATATTACAGTTTTTATATAAATAGTTATTTATTGGCCTTTAAATAAAATCAATTTATTATAAAATATTCGAACATAACTTTGGTTATTAGCGTGTATTGCACTTTTACAAATATGATGCATCCTCAATTTATAAAACTCTGTAACAATTTTTGTAATTAAATAAATGATATGCTTTTCTAAAGTGTTTAGATCATAATTTATCGATAACTGTAAAAAAATTTGCATGTTTACAAATTTATTTATATTTTGTTCCAACTTTTCTTTTAATGATGACATCATTAATAATTCGTTACATGAGAAACTGCGCAATATTATTTCACAATCCATACAAATTTGAATAAGGTCATCACTGGGATACATTAACCTTCCCAGATCTTTAAATGCCAAAAATGTATTTTCTAAATTATCTTTACTTCCAACAACTGCTGATGAACAGTCTGTACATTCAATAGAAAACAATTTTTTTGCAACAAAACCACTGATATAAATTATTATTTCCTTAGAATATTGCGACAAATTAAAGTCTAATACATAATCATGATCAAATGTTAAATTTTTTGAATACTCTTTTGTAAATTTGTACTTACAATGTTATTTTTGTTAAGATCTGTACATGTCTTGTTGCATATATTTGAACTACATTTAAGAATATTAATATTTTGCAAAGGTATGCAATTCCCGACTCCATGTTCTCGTATTTCCGCACGGATTAATATTTTCTTATACGCAGATATAAACTGTCGACAAGTTGGGTTATTGTTATATCCTCCACAAGATCTTATAGACCCAAAAAATAACTCCAAATGGTCTTGTGACATTTTAGCTAGTATGAACGATAGATTATATTTATCAATAGATATTTTATAAATACTAAGTAAACTTTTCATAGAGATTAACAAACATAAAAATCTAGTCTTTCGGTTACAATTTAAAATTCTATCACAATTTAAAGTTCCATCACAATTTTTCAACTTTGTTATATAATCGGTTAAACTTTCAAAAAATTTTTCAACTTTTTCAACATTTTTTTCACACAGTGCTTGTTTAAAACCAAAATCTGATATCTTTCTAGAATTTAATATATCAAATGCATTATTCATAATAAAAATAAATCTGATCGTGGCACCAGCATTTTTAAAATCCTCTAATTTTAATTGTTCAGCACAAAATATTAAAGCTTCTGCTACAGAGTTACTTAATAATTGCGTAGCTAGCTTGACCTTCATTTTTTGTTAAAAAAAATCTATGTGACGTTTAGTAATTTTATTACACAAATGTAATCCTTCTTTTTCTTGCAGTTCATTTAACTTTTGAAGGTATTTAAAATTAATTTCTTGATTTTGGTCATCAAAAAAATTTTTTTTCTCCAAAAGTATTACGAATTAATTTAATATGTGCCGGATCTGGAAATATGAATAAAGGATTTTCATTTCTTGTTTTGGTTTGTAAAACAAGCATTGTTTTTTTTTCATTTTGATTTCTTAAACATGTTTTAAAATCAAATTTACAACCAAGAATTTTCGCAGTTAAATTTGTTGGACAACAGTCAAACGTAATATTTGTGATAGTAATTCGGCAATCTTTCAATAATTGTAAACAATTATTAGTTAAATCAGCTTTTTTGTTGCTATTTAAGCTATCTATAAAAAAGCATCCTAATGGAAGTTTCCATGATTCATTAATAGCAATAATCATGAAAACAAAAATTTGTTTGGCATAACCAATATTTTCATCACTAACATTATTTCTAACACTAACTAGTCCATATACTTTATCATTCACCCATTCTACGTGTTGTCTTATACTCATTTCATCAAATACGAGAGAACAACAAATATTTTTTTCTACATTCTTATATCTTTTTTTAATATTTCGAAAGATTCTGAAATAAAGCCTGGTTCACCATTAATAGTTTTATACCATTTCGATAAAGTTTTATAATGAGGCAATGCACCATTTAAAATTACTTACGTAATTATATGCTCTTGGTAAAAAATAGTGAAGAGTTATTGCAAATTTTCGAATATCTTCTTCATATTTTTGTTTGCATCTCTTATTCTTATATAAAGCTCTTTTAAATATATTTAAAAATAAATTTCTATTACTACCAAAACAATTTAGCAACACTTCTTTAGCATTATAAGTAATCATACTATTTCTTTGCAATTTTGAAACAACAGATATTAAATTTTCAATTCGACGTTTCTGTCGATATGTCACTTTTTGTAATTTTGTTATTTGTTTTCTCAGTAACTTTTCATTCGTAGCCATTCTCATAATTTTTCTTTTTAGATGACTTTTTCTTGGAGTATCATCTGGCTTTGAATAATAAGATCAAGAAGACTCATTCTTTTCTTTACTTGAAGTATTAGGAAGATTATTTGCTTGCTATTACACTGATTGCAACATTTCATTAGAAGTTGGTGGCTCTTCATCCATATTAATAGTATTTACTTCCTGAAATAAATATCTTATTAGTTTTTGAGTAATTTATGTTCTTATAAGATCTTTTATACAGAGTCATCGAAAAGTATCGGACCCCCCTAATATCTTCAGTTAGAATGTAATTGGAGAAAATGTCCAATAGCAAAGTTGTATGGTTTCAAGCGGGGAGTAAGATGATGACCTTGACCATGTCCTTCAAGGTCATTTCAAGGTCAACCTAATTTTTTAAAATAAAACCCCCTACATTTTATTGCATATTCTTATAGCTTATCTCGAGAGCTTTCCAAAACGCTAGAATAAAACATTTTTTCATTAAGTACTGTATATAATATACAATATATATATATATATATATACAGGGTGTTTTTTTTAACTTGAGACTGCTAAATATCTCGAAAAATAAGCATTGTACGACAAAAATGTCCCAAATAAACCCTCAATAGTTTCGAGGGCGCAATTCAATCCCACAAAAATTATCCACCTCCCGCCCCCCCTGGGGATGGGGCGGGGGGTAACTTTAAAATCTTAAATGGAAACCCCTACTTTTTATTACAGATTCGGATTCTACATCCAAAAACACGTAACTTTTGTCTGAACTTTTTTTTGTATTTCTGATAGATGGCCCTGCATTCGGCGAAAATTGGGTAACCTTCGTTTTCTTCAAAGAGAATCCCCTAATATAATGACTCTACGTCAAAGAAAAGTAACTTTTGTCGGAAACATGTTTTTTCGAATTATCGTAAATATCTACGATAATTTTTTATCCGTTTTAACTAAAAAATGAAAATAAAA